AGATCATATCCATTTCACTTTGTAATACTTCTGCCTTGATGCCTGTCACTGGTGCAAGCGCTTTACTAAGGATTTCATTCAGATTCTCGGATTTGTCTTCTGGCACTCCTTGAAATCTCAGCACATATGAAGATTTTTCCATTTGTCGCTGCAAAAGTTGAGTTTTATCTAAAGATCTTTCTTTTTCCACAACTTCCAGTCTTTGATCAATTGCTTTGGTCTTGTTTTCAACTGCCTCTGTTCTTTTGTTGGATTCTTTTAGCTGTTTTTGTAAAGACTCCAAGGTCTTGCTGATGTTAGTCATCTGAGCCACCAGAGGTTGCAATGCAGTATCCAGCATGCCTGCAAAGTTAAAGTTCACTTCCGGTTTAGAAACCGGACGTGTTGAGCTGGCAGTTCCTTGTTGAAGTTTCGCTTTCGCCACCATCTTTTCAGCCTGAAAAGACATTGTTTACATTTTTTAAAATTTATTACAACATACTACATCATAGTTATACATAACCAAGCAGAGTATAAATACCAAACAATAAACACTTTGCTTTAAAAAGTTGAAGTCTAAATCCAAAAGCACTTTAAAAAAAAGATCATTACTAAGTTTATACAAAATAAATATATATCAACTAAACCTATTGTTATGAAAATACTGATAAGAGCATTGTTTACATTTTGTAAAAAGTTCGTTTAAGTCTTTAAAAGTTTGTTTGCTTTAACGCCTTAACAGTCTGGCATTGTACTGATTTAATTCCACCGTCCGCTCAAACACTGCCACTTTCTGTCCCTTCTAATGTTTTTAAATCTTTGCCGTTTTCAAGGGGTGGGTAGCTTCCCCCCCTGCTTTTTCTTGGGGGCACCCGAGCTGGCATCTTACTCATGCTCCGCTTCATCAGGTAAGATAAAGTCTTTTTGTTTTCACCAGGTCAGTTGCTCACTGGTCCAGTATGCTCATTTCATGCCCAAAGTGGTTCCACCGCGGCGGGGACCTATAAGGGCAGGGGGGCCCTCGATCCTTTGGTCTCAGCCTTGGGAGAGGCACCCCCAACGCCCCAGGCTAAGAGCCCTCTACAAGGGTTCTGCGGGGAGTCCAGAACCAGCCAGACCGCCTCCCTGCTGCCGGGTCACAGGCTGCTCCCTCCGGAGCTTAGGAGGAGCATGCCCGCCATCAACACGCCGAAACTGAAGTCCGCATCTCTTGTCAACTTAATTTTATCAGATCTTTTCAGTGAATCTCATATTGTTATTACTAATAAACTTATTAACGTGCTTGGGGTTCTTTCCTCTACCAAATATCAAAGTCAGTGGAAGAGACCTTACTTAGGAACAAAATACCCCATCCCTTTACACAGGGGTCATTTTATAGAAAAAGAGGTGCAGGAGCTCATTAGCATATGCCACTCACCCTGACATCACCGGAAGCGTGTCAGAAGGCAACACCCACCGCTCAGGCTCCACTGGACTGTTTTGGACTGGGGGGCCGGGGGGAGCTCTGCAACTTACCTGGCTGCTTCTTGCTCTGACTGAGGGCTGCTGGGAGCAGGGGGTGGGGCTTGTTGCATGTGGGCTCTTTACTGCCGGAGCTCCGCTCCTGTGCGCTCCTACAGGAAATGACCCCTACCTTTATAGCTGATGAACATGCACAGCTTTTATTGGCTATGATGTGTCAATCACCTGAATAACTGGTTTCCTGGACCTGTTCTGAAAGTTCACTGTGTGAACAGATATGAGGATATCTAAATCCTTTTCAACCCAGTATGATGCAGCAGTGAAAAAGGCAAACTCTGTGTTAGGGATTATTAGAAAGGAGATGGAAAATAAAATGGTCAATACTGTAATGCCCCTGTATAGCTCTGTGGTGCATCCTTATTTGGAATACTGTGTACAGTTCTGGTCACTTATCTCAAAAAAGAGCTGGAAAAAGTACAGAGAGGGCAACCAAGATGATTAGGGGGTTGGAGCACCTTGCCTATGCATGCGGTAGAAAGAGTTGACAAAGAGATTTTTTTTCTCCCTTTCCCAAAATACTAGAGCTCGAGGGCATCCAGTGAAGCTAATGGGCAGTGGGTTCAGGACAGACAAAAGGAAATGCTGTTTTACACAGTGAGTGATTAAAATGTGGCATTCCCTGCCAGAGGATGTAGTGATGGCCAGAGGAATAAACAGCTTTAAAAAGGGATTAGGTAGATACATGGAGCATAAGTCTATCAATGGTTACTTGCCATGGTGGCTGAGGGGAACCTCCTCATTCGGAGGCACTGAACTTATGAATTCCAGAGCCAGGAGGCAACAGCAGGGAAAGACCCCGTTGTAGATGGACTAGGGGTGTGACTCAACAAGGCTCTTCTTATGTTCTTTTTTTTTAAAAAAACCTTGTTTGCTTTTATTTCATCTAGATGCAGTATTACCCTCATATCTCTATGTTAGAGAATATGGATTTATTTGTTGGGAGGAGTAGCAAATATTCTTAATATCAGTATCAATTTTCTACTTGCTGCATTGATAATCCAGTTGCTCCCAACATATATACATATAGGCCCAAATACTGACATGGACTATTTACTGTGATATAGGTTGTATGATCCACTGTATTTAAATAGTATACTTACTGTTCAAGTAAAGTTTGTAAATTAGTCCACCAGCTTTTTCACAACTTGTTTGCCTAAGTAATATATGCATGTATTAAATTGTATGTATAAAAATTGCTTTGGAAGCCTGAAAGGCTTTGGATTTTTTTTAAAGTACTGAGTAGTATGTAGTATATTCCATGTATTCTCCTGATAAACTCTTGGTCCCACTTTTGTTTTGTATTATTATTATTTACTTTTTACATCAGTGTAGTGAACAGTTCACTTAGCTTTTTAAGAACTTTGTTGTTCTCTTATAGACCTGATTTCTTTTACAGTGGTCTTTTTAGTTTGCCCTTTTGTTGTATGTTTATGCATGGGACATTCACTCTATTTCTTTGCTTTTGGCACCTTCCCATTTTATGTATAGCTCTGCTTTCTTTGCTTCCTGTTCCTTTCCCCCACATACATATACTGAGTAGAATCCCACTGATGTTTGTTTTCTGCTTCATGTCTCTTCACCACCCTTTTATTTGAATCCACTGGAGTTGTTGGGAGCTCAACACAGAGCTGCAACTTTCTAAGCTTCCCTTTCTGCAACACAGAATGGTGTTCCTGAAAGACAGAGCAGCAGATGAGACGAGAATGTCAGGTCTGTGGGCAGAAATCCTTTCACCTGTAAATAATTCACTTTTCACATATCAATGCAGAGCTTTTAAAATTATTTTTATTTGCTGCATACCTCCAAAGTACCCCTTATTCCAGTTGCCCCTTCCTGCTCCCTCTTTTGGTCCATTGTGGCACCCAGCCCACTTCTACACATGGGATACCTGCTTTAGAAGAAGAACAGAAGAGATTGGATTTATACCCCGCCCTTCACTTGGAGTCTCAGAGTGGTTTACAAACTCCTTTCCCTTCCCCTCCCCACAACAGCCACCCTGTGAGGTGGGTGGGGCTGAGAGAACTCTGACAGAAACTGCTCTTTTTCAAGGACAGCTGTGCCAGAGCTTGTGACTGACCCAAGGTCACATCAGCAGGTGTAAGTGGAGGAGTGGGGAATCAAACCCGGTTCTCCCAGATTAGAGTCCACGCACTTAACCACTGCACCAAACTGGCTCTCTGCTATACTAACTATATACTAGCTTTCCAGCTGTCCTGGGAAAGACACCTAGAATATAGGTTAAGTAAGACATTTGTTCTAATAGATTCTGGTTCTGCAATTTCATACATTCTGCTTTTGTTGGAGTTGGCAGGTGAGTATCCTGGGGAACTAAAACTCCATTGGGTTCTGAGTGTACCATTTTAGAGATGAATGAGCTCTTGGTGGTATGAGCTCTTGCTTTAGACCAGAAATTTTAGTGCTGTTTTGCATGTTACGCTTGGGGAAGCACAGGTACGTGCTTGGGTGACTTATCATTGTGTTATATAGAGAGTGGTCTGTTGCATGTAATGTGGCTGAAGGTGTGGCTTTCACTTTTTTGGATGTGTATAATTACAGTCTGCCTTGACACCTTTCCATAGTGGAGCAAATTCTGAATATAACATTCTCTGTTTCCCAAATGTCTATAGGTTCAGCAAGTCTGGAGCCCCCTCAGAATGTTACTGTACACATTGTTAACATAAACATCACTCTGAAATGGGACTGGGAAAATCTGCATGGCCTCAATGTAACCTTTTCAGCACAGTATGAAGAGTAAGTGACCAATTTCCATTTAAGTTGCTGTTGAGAAGAGTTTACAAAAGCTGCTGATATTTTTGGAATGTCCCTAAGTAGCAAAGGGGTAGCTGTGTTAGTCTGTCATAGCAAAATAAAATAAAAGTACAGTGGTACCTTGAAGGCTAACAACATTTATTTATACTGGAGTTCTTTGTATGACGAAGATTGAGGTGGGGGGAACCAAGGCAGAGAGGCTTGGTGTGAGTAACAGTGCAAATTATCAATATAAGATGAAAAGGGAAGGGTTGAGGGAGAAAGGTGTGAATCCTGTTATAAATCTTCAGAATTAGCGGTTACGCATAGGTAAGTGAGGTCAGAAGTTGAAATAGATAAGCAAAGTGAAGTTGGATAAATAGATGAAGTGAAAATTTGTACATGGTTACAGTCTGATAAAATATGTTAAGAACAGCCAATTAAATTTTCTAGGAAGTGGATCCTGCAGAGCTATTAGAGATTGTTGTAAGAAAGGAAATCCCAGGCTCTGTTGACATGTGGTGTTGAATTTCTTCATGAATTGTAATTCGGCCCTAAGCTTCTCTACCTTGGTTTCTCCTCCCATCTATCCAGTCTTCCCCTTAAGAAGAATTCCCATTGTGATTTTTTCTTCACATATCTGAAGTAAGCTGTAACTCACAAAAGCTCGTATTGAAAGAAATGTTGTTAGTCTTTAAGGTGCCACTGGACTTTCCTTATTTCCATAAGTAGCAACCAAATTTTTAAAAAAGCAGGCACAAGTTTCAGAAATTCAGGATGTGCTCTGCAGGGATGACATTTTAAGACCAAGTTTCAAACACAATACAAACTTAGCTTGCATCTTCCTCCAGGGGCCAGCATACCTTCAAGCCCCATAGGAGCCCCATAGGACACTGAGGTCTACTAATCAATATCTTTTAGTAGTCCCTCACCCCACTGTTGTCTGACTAGCCTCAACTGGGGCCGGGGCCTTTTTGGCCCTGACCCCCACCTGATGGAATAAGCTCCCATGTGAGATCAAGGCCCTGTGGGATCTATTGCAGTTCCACAGGGTCTGCAAGACGGAGCTTTTCCACTGGGCTTTTGGGTGGGGTGGCAGACATTCCCCCCTTCCCTCTTCTGGCCAATCTACCACTAGTGGCCTGGATCCAAATAGACATTAGGGGTACCCACTGTTGTGTTTTAACTAATCTGATGACATTGAAATTGACATCTGATTCTATCTGTTTACACGGTATTTTATTATTCTATTTTGTGAGCCCACTTTTGGGGAGGATGGGATATAAATCAATCAAATAAATAAATAAAATATTTGCAATTGATAAGAAGAACATCTTCTGTATGCACAATACTTCTACCTCTGTAACCTGGCTGTCTGGATCCTGTGAATTCTGTGAATTGCAGTGTGAATTCTGCCTATGCAGCTCTAGGGGCTGCAGCCAGAGCTGGACCTGGGAGCGGCTAAGCATTCAACGCACAATAACACTCAAGCTTAGAATCATCCTTTATTTAGCTCTTAAGGATCCAAGGGATCAGTTTACTCATGTCCCATTTTCAGGTGGGTGATAGGAGCATCTTAAAATCCAGAGTGTATTGAGTGATTCATGTGGTAAAAGGAGATGAGTCCCTCCCATCTCCTTAGCTGAGGGATTGCAGAAGAATGCGAGGAAAAGGATAATAAACCTACTTTCGCGCACTAGTTTATTACAGGAATAGGAAGCTATATAGAACCAATCAGGAAGCCTACTTCAAACCAGCTGAACCTGAGGTTGCTAGAATAAGAGGAAGAAGAAGAGATTGGATTTATAACCTGTCCTTCTCTACCCGAAGGAGTCTCAGAGTGGCTTACAATCTCCTTTCCCTTCCCCTCCCCACAACAGACACCCTTTGAGGTAGGTAGGGCTGAGAGAGCTCTGAGAGAACAGCTCTGAAAGACCTTATGACTGACCCAAGGTCACACCAGTAGCTGTATGTGGAGGAGTGGGGAATCAAACCCGCTTCTCTCAGATTAGAGTCCGCACTCTTAACCACTACACCAAACTATTTATTTATTTATCAGATTTATACCCCGCCCTCCCCCGTAGGGCTCAGGGCGGCTTACAAGGCAAGATAAACTTGCTACAATAAAACAACCATATACCTATACTT